ATAATTTCTTATTGCTCACAAACATAAAGTCAACACACCTTTGGATTTTAAACATTTGTGGGCAATGCAAAACGTGATTCACGATTTTGTTTGGTAAATTATCAATACAATTCTAGTTTCAGGGATGCCAGTTAGAATTGATCAGAGGGCCTGAAAAATCACCTAGAATGAATGAGCTAGCTTGTACACAAAAAACCTAAACTATGGTATGAAAATAACTCGCCAGGGCCTGAATTCAGGCTATTGCCTGAAAACTTGCATTCCTGTAGTTTGCTGAAGAGGGTTGAATGAAAGCTCCTTGACCTATGCTGAAGGGTAAAAAAACACTGTTTCAAACTCACAAAATATTGTCGGTTATTGCAACATACCTGCAGGTTTTAGTGATCTAAAATTAATTGAATTATAAAATATATAATTGAAAATTAGGACAAATAAGCCTTTCAAATGAAATGATCCATTCTGTAGTGTCTAATTAGTCAGAGTCTCAGTGTCTGTCAGTGATCATGCATAATATGACAAATAAATGTACAAAAATAATACAATTACATGTACACATTTATTTACCGATAATGGCTTCAACTGTTTCAAGAGGCTGCTGATCCTTAGGGAACATCCACAAGGTTTCGAGAGAGTAGCATTTTCTGCATGGTTTCACATCAATATACTGAGGCCACAATGTGCTTTGAATCCACTGCTTTGACGAGATATGTTAACAAAGGATGCCTACAATTAATGAGAAAATAAATAAAGTTAAAACAAAATGAATGGTTGATAAATGTATGCATGTGCAACACATATACTACAAACTTCTTTGAACAGCCTGTGGGGAAAGAATTTTGTTTACCATTTACGGGTCTATTATTTCCAGATAAAGATTTCTGCATGTATACGGTAGCCTATAAGATAAATTTGCTGTCTAAAGACTATAGAAATGACTTGTTTAAAGTTACATGTATGTGACTGTGACACAAGACACTGCTTTATTCCTCTACGCATCGACACGCAATGCTCAATTTCCAGACATCTGGGCCCGGGCCGGTAGTCCACTTTCTCACAGGTTTCACTGCAAACCACTGCACATTACAAGTGCATACTGATGGTGGTTGCGGGCGGGCGCATGCCTGTGTGAAGTTATCTACTGTATAATGAGGAGGTAGATAACTTCACAAGACACACAGACTTACGTGCCCCCGCAACCCTCCATCGGTATGCACTTGTATTGTGCAGCGGTTTGCCGTGCAACCTGTGAGAGAGTGTATACTAATATCGATGTTTTTCCGAAAAATGCTCCCCCCGAAATAAGAAAATTGACCAGAAACAGGTTAGAAACATAACGACTTTTAAATCATGACCGGCATTATTTGAATTAACATTTCATGAATATTTGCTTGATTTGGGGTATGTTTTAGATTTTTAGTACTATCTCCACGCCAGAGTTGAGGGTCACTGGTCAAAAAGTCTGGATATGATTCTGAACTAGTACTAGATCTACAGTATTGCTTGGAATGCGCGTGACTGCATGTATTATCCGTCCTTTGGTGTGACAGTCTACTCTTATCTTAGACTGAATTTTCCGTCTCTTTCGCTCGTTAGCCTCTTATTGGGGTAGGGTCGGCCGGCTCTCTCTTTAGAGACGGAAACCGTCTATACACATTCCAATGATAACGCCACGGCCATTTCAAGTCGTAGGGTTATGCCCCCAAAATCCCCCAAAATGTCATTTTACCTCATGCATTGATTATTTAAAATTAGGAGAAGGTTATACTACCTCGGTTCCACTTACCAACTTGACTGAAATAATCCGTTTAATGGTCCCTTTTAAGGAAATTATGGGTCAAAATCGACATCCATGTTGAAAATCTTGCAAGCCGTGTTAAACTCTCGCTGCCGGAGTCAGCTAAATCAATCTCATCCCTTCTAGTCTACGCCGAAGGCAAAATGATTATGAAGGAAAAACTGTGCGCCATTACGAACGTGTAGATGGCGTTATCACAGTTTTTCCTTCATAATCATTTTGCCTTCGGCGTAGACTAGAAGGGATGAGATTGATTTAGCTGACTCCGGCAGCGAGAGTTTAACACGGCTTGCAAGATTTTCAACATGGATGTCGATTTGACCCATAATTTCCTTAAAAGGGACCATTAAACGGATTATTTCAGTCAAGTTGGTAAGTAGAACCGAGGTAGTATAACCTTCTCCTAATTTTAAATAATCAATGCATGAGGTAAAATGACATTTTGGGGGATTTTGGGGGCATAACCCTATACGACTTGAAATGGCCGTGGCGTTATCATTGGAATGTGTATAGACGGTTTCCGTCTCTAAAGAGAGAGCCGGCCGACCCTACCCCAATAAGAGGCTAACGAACGAAAGAGACGGAAAATTCGGTCTAGAGGTCTACTCTTATCTTAGATCTACTTAGATCTAGCACTGGCAGTCAGACAGTGCCAAAACTTTCATCAGTTAGCTTCTCTTATTTTTCTGCTTTCTTTTACTTTTAGTTTTAGAGCAGTTGCATATTCGAGTTAGATTTCCCTTTAAAGCCATGTAGCCCATGTGTAGGCAAATGAGTAAACATTTTTGCTTAAAAAGATGAAAGACTGGGATGAGCTTCCTACAAATATCATTGAACTGCCCACATTGAAGCAGTTCAAGGAAGCCATCAGCTGCGAATAGTCACAGCATCATCATTATTTTTTATGATTTTTATGATTTTTATCATTTTACTTGCACCATAAACATGTATATATTTCGGCACAAATTTACACAAGCCGTCCACCGTCGGCAAAAGATCACCCTTGTCTAGATGCTGAACAGGCTTTGACAAGTAGTAGAATAGAAGTAGAATAGAAGTAGATGCCCCATGCATCCCATCAAGACCCTACATAAAAATACATAGATGGGATCATACATGTCAAATCTTGTCAGCAGGTCAGGTGTTGCAAGTCCGAGCTCACTATCAGTTGACATCAGATCATACATTTCAGAACGAAAACAGAGCTATAGATTTATGTACATTTTGTAAATGAATTCTTCTAGGACTTACCCATACTGTTTATTTGCAGGGGAAAACGAGAGTATTCAGGAGGATGATACGGAACTCGGTCAGCAATGTAGGCAACGGCTTTTTCCCTCTGAATTCAAATACATACGTACGTACACACGCAATGTAGGCCTATCATACGCCTTGCATTGAGTATACAGTACACACACACACGTAGGTACACTACCGTTTGAAATAGCGAGATAGTCTTGATCGATATTGCAGACCTTGGTGCATATTAAGATGGTGCATAATCTGTAAAGTGGTGACATTTGAGGGGGGGGGGGGGGGGGGGGGGGAGTTGTTCCCCATTTTCAATTCTGATAATTGCCCTATTTACTTTGACTTCTGCCCATATTAGATCCTACCTTATATTGGTTTTCACTGTCGTATTGACGTCGTAATGACGTCGTCAATACGACAACAATTATCTTGGAATAAATAGTCTTTAAAAGAGGTCATAATGAAGTCGTAATGACGTCGTCAATACGACAACAATTATAATGCAAAAAAAAAGTCTTTTAAAGACGTCGTTATGACGTAGTCGATACGACAAAAATTATGTTGGACAAATTAGTCTTTTAAAGATGTCGTTATGACGTCGTCGATACGACAAAAATTATCTTAGAAAAAAATAGTCTTTAAAAGAGGTCATAATGACGTCGTTATCACGTCGTCAATACGACAACATTACATTGGAAAAAAATAGTCTTTTAAAGACGTCATAATGACGTCGTCGATACGACAAAAATTATCTTGGAAAAAATTGTCTTTTAAAGAGGTCATAATGACGTCGTTATCACGTCGTCAATACGACAACAATACATTGGAAAAAAATAGTCTTTTAAAGACGTCATAATGACGTCGTCAATACGACAAAAATTAGCTTGGAAAAAAATAGTCTTCAAAAGAGGGCATAATGACGTCGTAATGACGTCGCCAATATCACAAAATTTTCTTTGAAATATAGTCTTAAAAAGACGTCAAAATGACGTCTTTATGATGTCGTTAATACGACAAAAATTATCTTGGAAAAAATAGTCTTTTAAAGACGTCATATTGACGTCGTCGATAAGACAAAATTTATCTTAGAAAAAAATTGTCTTTTAAAGACGTCAAAATGATGTCTTTATGACGTCGTTAATACAACAAAAATTATCTAGGAAAAAACAGGTTATTAAAGACGTCATAATGACGTCGTAATGACGTCGTTAATACGACAAAAACTATCTTGAACAAAATAGTCTTTTAAAGACGTCATAATGACGTCGTCGATAAGACAAAATATATCTTGAAAAAATTAGTCTTCTAAAGACGTCATTACGACGTCGTTTTGACGTCGTCAATAAGACAAAAATCATATTGCAAACAATTAGTCTTTTAAAGACGTCATAATGACGTCTTAATTACGTCGTCCATACGACGTACGACGTGTTTACCACTTTACGACCAATTTATGACGTCTTTAAGACGTCAGTCTGCTATCAGGGTACCTATTTTTTAAGGGTCATTTGGGGGATTTTTCTTGAAGTTAGCCCATTTTCCACAATTTTTTGGTGTTTGCCATGCTAACACACAACATTTTTTGAAATTTCCAAAAGTGGTCCCATGTTTACTTTTTTTTTTGAAGATAGGACTCATGTTAAGATTTTTTGTGTGAAAAAGTGACCCATAAGAGCGGCACACCCCCGTATGTGTGAGTGGGAGGGGGATTCGGGGGGGGGGGGGCAGAGAATCGATACACGAGGGGTGCAAGGTAATAAATGACCTGAGGATACCAATCATTATCGATGACCTGTAAATATTAAGATATTAGTTTTGATTTAATAAAACATACAAATAAAAAATAAAAAATGACCTGAGAAAATTTCGAAAGAGAAAAGCTGCATAAGCGCCATCTCTGGGACCGTTGTCATTGACGATCGCACGCTGATAGTGCATGCATGCATGTAGTGAACATGATCGCGCGTTAAATTCAAGTGAATTCTTAGCAACTCAGAAAAGGGAATCCTTCGAAGGATGTTGCGTTCTCAGCAGTCGGGCTTCCAGTTCGATATGTTCGAGGCATCCTCTAAAAGCTTCAAAATTTGAACGGCCATGGCAACCCAACAGAAGATACAGAGTGAGTCTAAATTATATTTTGTTTCCAGGTAGTATAGTTTTGCAAAGTTAATGGTTATGATTTTCTGATTGACTCTGAATTGAATTCGAGGAGCTTTGACATCCCCACACGTTCAAATTTGGGTTGTGTTTTTGCTGTAGACTAGTGCACAACCATGTCAACGGGCTCAAACTGTACACTAAATTTACTGTCATTTTAATGCGAGCACAAAGAAAATTGCAGTTGTTTACATACACAATTCATGTTATACAAGAACTAATGTACCGTGTTTCACTCTAGAATCTACTAGATCTAGACATGCAATCGTAGATCTAGACCTAATATTATTAGATAAATTAATGAGGCATGCATGAGTAGACTAGACCTGATGAGGCCTTGAACTTTGAAGGCTCGATTAAAATTAAAAAATGAATAAATGTTGTGTCCAGGTACTTCTTCTTCATGTAATCTTCTATTCAGAAGATTCAGAGCTATTCATCAAGAAGCGGCAGTCAATATCCCACCATACGAAAAACAGTCATCACGACCCAAGGCATAAGATTATTAAGAGGAGATCCTGATTGATATACCCTACTCCAATGCCTTAACAGCTTCCTCCCTCACCCACTCAAAGATTGGAACAACCTACATGTACCCTTCTCAACCAAAAACTCAAATACATATGTAGCCTATAAAAATCAATTAAGTAAAGCTCTGGACAAGTCAGTGCTGATTTCTAGCAATGTCCAGATTCTATTCAGAAGGACCTTATGTAGACCTATGACAAAAACATGGATTTTGTACCTCTAGATGTTCTAAACTTATATAATGCCAGTAAGGGTGCTTTTTGGTAACATATATCTTAATAATATCTTAATTACGTGAATACCACAGCCCACTGTACATGTAGGTGAGTTCAAGTTTGCTGCAATTGTTAAGGAAAAACAGGAGATCTGGAGTATATCGGGAAGAATGTACATTGGAAACGAAATTGTCAAAGGTTTTTTAAACTTCCAAAGACTAAACTATTAAAGTTTGTATAAATTATGATCTTATCAATCATTGGAAATTGAAATTGTTTGATTGAAGTTAATTGACAAATAACTGCCCGGTATTGTCTATTGAAACGTGCATGTTTGCTTATGAATGACATTTGAATTGTTTGACGATCCTCTCTAAATGCTACTGATTTGATTCACTGTTCCAAATTTAGTGGAATTCATTCATGGGCATTTTATTTGTAGGTCACAGACTTTTCAAGACATTTCACTGAAAAGCGTTTCTGTAGTGTAGTATGAAGGAATAGCACTAAAGGGGAACTAACCCCAAAGAATAAGTGTACACTTAGGTATTCTGAAAAACAAGATGGGTTCCTGCCTTTTGATGTACAATAAATCTTACGAACGTGTACAAGAGATACATAAATGAAGATTTCTTGGCATGACGTAATGCCTTTTAGAATGACATGGGCGCAGCCATTTTCTTGAAAAATGCAAGTACCAGGCGGAATTGTACATGTGCATGTATGTATCATGCAATAAGCTCTAATTGGAAATACTTTTTAATTCAATAACAAAACCTTTATTTTTTCAATGATCCATAGCTGAGAAGGTAAAGATACCAGTTTTGCATGTTAGTACATGTAAACACCAGGTTTACACCATACTCTTTGCAAGAAGTGAAGGTTTGAGCAGTTTCTAATCAAAATTATGAAAGTTATTAATTGTTGAAAATATCATGAACTTTCATTTCCTTAATTATTGATAATGGAATAGGTTTTCTTATGGGAAAATATAAAATTAATATTTAATGGGAAGGGAGCTTGCAAGATAGGTTACAACTTAATTTCAGGGTAGACTTCCCCTTTAAAGTTTAACATTGCATCAGATGTACATGTAACTCTCCTACATGTACATAGGGGGCCCTTCTCAGTAATTGCACTTTATCTTTTATTGACGGTCCAGAAGTGATTTTCATAAAAGCTAAAAAGGTCTAAGAATGGGATGCCATTCGCCCAAAAAGTTTTATGGTCAATCTTATACTTTAACTTAAGTAGGACGATATACAATTGAATGCTGGGAATCTGGAAAACTCTTTTAAAACAGCACAAAAGAGCCCTCAGTTTGAGCCTTCCATCTTATTCATCAGTTTCAGAACAAGCCCCTAATAATGCCCACATTATTGAGTTTCAAACACATTTCTGATCATTTAAGGGCGCGTTCATGCTTGATTTTGACGGCCAGAATCAGGCATCTGTTACGCGTTTAGTTTAAAACACGCTTGCGTTCATGCTCACTTTTGTAGAATCACCGAAAAACGGCGATCACGATCGCCGATCGTAAACTCACAAAAAGATGCGTTTACAATTTGTAAACGCGTTTAAATGGGTCAACGCACTGACCTCTAGTGGGTCTACGTAGCATGCACAGTGAAAGTTTGCGAATCCAGCTGGAAGACCAATTAAGGCCACACACTGAGAATTGCCTGGGGGAGCCAGAGAAGTAAGCATGAACACTACATCGTGGAACTGCGATCACGATGAGCGTTTACGATGAGCGTTTCAGATCGCTCATTCTACCTTCAAAATTTAAGCATGAACGCAGCCTAAGTCCTTTACAAGCTTCACAGCACTCTGGCTATTCATCGCGGTTGTCTATCTTTGCTCCAGTGACCTTGAGGCAGCACAAAGCAAGAAACTGTATGAATAATCAAGTCTTCAGGGGTGCAGGAAAGCTTACCTACTCAAATTTGAGGTTGGGAGAAGGTTTACTACCTACATTGTACATTAAAGGGAATTGGTAGCATTGTTCAGATAAGAGAAAATGGTGCTAAGGCAGTGACTTTAATGCTTTATGTACAATTAAAGATAATCTGAAACTTTGAGTGAAAATTTTGAAAACAGACCATTATTCATGATAAAACTTGGGGAAAACTGATCTGATCGATTTCTTGATTGATTTGATTTGATTTATTTATATCTGTTTGATTTTCTTTTTCTTTTGTAGTTTTACAAGTATATAACAAACAAAACATTGCAAATTTTACACATGACAAAAGAATATATGTGGGATAAAGTATAAGGCTGGATGTAACTAATCGAAAATATCTATCAGGAGGGTTGACAAAGTAAGCAAAGCTTGATAGCATGACTACCCTCAATGGATACATAATAATACATATGGAGGGAAGTAATATTGGTAAAAGGGGGAAATGCGATAAAACAAAAAAGAAGGAAAAAAGAAAAAAGAAGGAAAAAAGATAAAAGGAGTGAACATCAAGATTCAAAGATGTATGTGTATGTGGTAGTTTGATTTCAATTTGATATAAACCGGTAGAGATAAAAAAAAAGAAGATGCACATTTGGATATTGGAGGGCCAACTTGGGATATATTACAGAATGAGAAGACTCGCAAGGTTTCTGGACAATATGAATAATAATGTGAGATCAGCGAGCTGGTTTATAAAGACTGTAAACCTGGGCCTGCGAGTCAGGGCCTTGAAATGTTTGTACACAAAACAGTGTTTAGACAGTATCCCAAGTAGGCCACTCTTTATTCATATGTTTATTCATACCAGGACATGGAAGGTTATAATCAAAGTTTCAATGAATGAAAGCAAAAATTACCGTAAGAGCACTGAAAATTAATGAGTTTTGTAACGACAGGTATACAAGGAGAACTTTTGAAGATTGAAGGTACGCAAATTTTGATGGTGGATTTAAAGATAATGAGCAATAAGAAACTTTTTCACCGCTCTTTTAAAGGATAGCATTGTATTCATCATTTTTATTTCAGGGGGTAGTGCATTCCAGGTATCAGGACCAGAATGTCTGATTGGTTTTTGAGCCAAGGCTGTTTTGGCGTTAAACACAGTGTAAGTGATAGTCATTGGAATGCCTGGTTAGGTAGGAATGAAAATTAGCATTATGCTGGAATATTTGACTATCTGATGAGGGGAGAATGCCGGATTTAAGCCAAAAAATGAACGTAGATTTTTGCATGTAGTGTATATCGCTTATTTTGAGAGTTTTTAATGTGGCAAATATAGTGTCAGTGTGGTCGTGTAACATTAATATACGTTTAGTATTGCACTTATGAGTAGTCCAACTTTATTATTAAAATGTAAAATGTAATAACATTTTAGTTGAATGTAAATTGTCATAAATCAATGAATAGGCTCTATATACATTGTATACCAATCCAGACATTTAACATTTTAGCGTTAACATATTTTTAAAAGCCTGTCTTAATTTGCTTTCATGGAAAAACGATTGGGAAAATTAGAAAATTGGTTTGGAGAATTTTCTGTAAGAAGGTGTGGCACACTGACACCTTCAGTGAAACCGTCAATTTTTCTATTATCTATTTGTATGGATGGGGTCCAGGGGCCCGCCTTACAGATCCTGTAGGGTTTCAAGGGCAGAGCCCTGGATGATCCCGAGTCTAAGCAATGCAGAACCTTTGAGAAACATGTAGCTGTCTTGACAAAATTACACCGACTAGTAAACCCTGTCAGAGAGTACATATTCAGTGAAGGCTAAATCCTTTTTATCCAGAGGGATTCTTTCACTTTAGGTATGGGGGTATCAGCCAATTACATTTTGTGTTTCCTGGTACTGATGATGATATGGAATGTTTAATCTGAGGTCTCTTTTAAAAGAGCACAAAAGAACCCTCTTTGTTCCTCTCCCTTTTTCCCTCTTTCATTTTTGAGGCCGCAAAGAAAAAAGTAGGGGGGCCTAGACCGATTCTCTCCACTCCCCCCCTGATCTGCTACTGATTTGTATGTTTATGCAGGCATAAAACATAGCGTGCGGTGAGATTTGGTTGCCATTCTATCTACATACATTAATATGTTGCTGCCCTTTTACTAAGAGTAGGGATTTATTTTTTTCTTCCTTTTTTCCCATTTTTTCTCTCTCTCCTTCATCTCTTCCCTTTTACCCTCTTTTCACTTTCTTTTGTCATTTTCTTTCTTAGCTCTTTTTTTACCTCCCACCCCCCTTAAACTTAGGCTTGAGGCTGCGAAATGGGGCCTGCAGCCTATCAGGCCTCCACCTGGATCTCACCACTGTTTCTACAGCTAAAAAAATCTAAAACTTTCAGTAATTTTTACCATACTTTTCTCTTTTTTTTACCTTTTCAAAATTCTTGACACTTTAAAATTCTGATATTTCTTTAAAAATTAGGAAATTGGAAGCACATGCAGACCTCAGGCAAGACTTTGAGAAGCCTTGCCATAGTGTGTACAATATTTAGGTTTATACATGTAAGTTGTAACAGGAGAGTGTGATTCAGTTTTGACAAAGAGCAATAACCAGTAACCTGTATCTACATGTACATGTAAATCCTTTTTGCAATATCTTGATTTTTTCATGGCTTCATCCTTATCTCTACAACAGATTCTATCTGCAGTCTCAGCAACGAGCCTCGAAGTTCGAAAGACCAGATGCAAGGGAAAGGAGAGACTGCGCATCGTCACACCGACTCAGTTCAAAATACAGCTCAAGACCTCTCTAGAAGGAAGGGTCCTTATCATGAAAATGGTGGATTGCAGTCACGATCACAAACCACACCAGGAGGTAATCGTTATATAAGGAACAAATCTGGTAAAAATGTAGAAGAAGAAGACCTTGTGGAAAGCTCTGAAAGTCGAAAGAAGCTGGATGACAGTGACAAAGACTTGATTGCATCAAGCAAGCCATCTTCTTGTAGCAGTAATGAATCGTCATCAATCGTTTCCCGGTGTAATTGGTGTAATGAGGAATTCCAGTCAGAGTATGAGCTGTTCAATCATACCAGAACTCACACCAGTGAGAGGGCTTATCAGTGTTCTAAATGTAACAAGGTATGCACCAACAAAGTTCAGCTGAGTGAACATATGAGAATACACGTTGTTGATGCTCATAATCTTTCCCTCAAATGTCTTAATAAGTTCCAGAACGAACAGAATCTTGCTAGCCACATGGTGCCACATAATATGTGTTCAGTCCGTGGCAAGGAATTTCTCAGTGTTTCTCCTCTTGTCTACGTGTGCCCAAAGTGTCATGAAACTTTTCCTAATAAAGCTTCCTTCGATGATCACCTTAGATCCAACAGTGAAGCGAAGCCTGATTTTTGCAGTGTATGTGGGGACACATTTCTTGATAAGTGTAGACTAGTTATACATCTGAAAAGACACATAACAGAGACGAGTCTTCGTTCCCCTTCTCATTACAAGATGCCTCCTAAGGCACAGCTCACAGATGTCCAGACGCCCTCTTCCGACAAACCTTATTCGTGTTCCGAGTGTAATAAGCAGTATACTTCAAAGCGTCACCTCAACACACACATTAGAAAACACACTGGCGATTTACCTTGCCAGTGCCAGTACCAGACATGTGATAAGAGGTTTGCCCATGAATATCAGCTTACTAATCACATGGTTTCGCACTCTGAAGAAAGGCCTCATGTGTGTTCTGAGTGTGGCAAGGCATTTCAGCGTCGCTCTGGTGTGGTCAAGCACATGCGGTTACATGGCAATGATAAGCCTTATAAATGCTCTGAATGTGATAAGGCTTTCTGTTATAGTAAAGAACTCGCAACCCATGTCAGACTGCACACAGGAGAGCGACCTTATTCATGCTCTGAGTGTAATAAGAGATTTAACACAAAGAGTAACTTCAAATCCCATATGAAAATACACTCTGGTGATAAGCCTTATTGTTGTCCCCATTGTGTTAAGGCATTTTGTAGAAAGCAACAGCTTGATATTCATGTCAGGACACATGCTGAAAAGAAACCTTTTCAGTGTCCTGTGTGCAAGAGAAGGCTTTCTAAGAAAAGATATCTCCTAGAGCATATGAAGACACATGATGATGTAAAGCCTTATTATTGCCCTCATTGTAACGAGGGCTTTGTTAATAAATGGGGATATCTGAGACATGTTAGCAGACATGCGGAGAGAAGAGCGTACCAGTGCCCGTACTGTGAACATGCTTGTGCTACAAGTTCAGAGCTTGAGATTCATACGAAGACTAAACATGAAAAGCCTCTTCAATGTCCTTACTGTGTTAAGGTATACTTTCAAAGTTCAGAGCTGATGGTGCATTTGTTAAGTCACAAAGGAGTATTCGGTGCCTCAAACGTATCAAAGCATATTCCAGCCAGTGAAATCTCTCTAAACATGCCAAAGAACACGAAAGAAAGCGCTTTTCAGTACAATTATTGCAATGCAGGATACAGTACTAAGGAACACCTCACATCACACCTTAAAACATGCACAAAGCAGAGCATTTCCCATTGATCTTATTGCAAGGAGGTTTATACATGAAAGAGTGAGCTAAAGAACCATAATCACAAAAACACATGCCGCAAGGTTTTCATGAAGCGTAAATTGTTATAATCATAATTTAATAAGCACTCGCACAGGCACTTGCACATGCACAAACAAGAACATAAATAACTCCACAGACTACACACCCCCAAGAAAGATTACAGAGATTCCTTTTCAGGACTCCTCAATCCTCTCTTTCTCTCTCACATGGTGCACCAGCAAGCCTACTGTATATAAATAACTTGTTAAGCAAAATACATACACTTACATATTAAACACAATTAAAGTTAAGGCTTTTCATTTTATACCCACAATTGTTTAAAAAGTGATTTATTTTATTATGTGGCTGTTGTAATCAATTTCTTTCTGGTAATATTTACGATAAGTATGATCACCCATATAGGTTCCTTCTCAAAGCCACCATCACGATCAAGCTCTCCTGCACTTTTCAATTTATAAATAATTTTTCAGCCATGTTTTCTTAATGGTATGATTATATAATTGTTTCATATTATGATATGAAAGTATATTTATTTAGATTTTTGTTATTATATGTACCTGGTTCATATATTACTTGTTATTAAGTTGAAAATGCAGGGGAAAAAAAGGTTCCCATGTTATTTTATGTACACCTTGATACTACAGTTTGGGAACAATTATTCCATTGTTTAATTTGATTTACCGCAGTACTTTCAACTTTGCAATTATATCTATGTATTTTTGTGTATTTCAATTGTCAAATTTTATGTACACCAATTATATTAGGGCCTATAATCTATAGTCCTACTCGTCTTTTTAAAAATATTTTGTACCGGTATTTGATATTTCAATAAATCCAGAAACATTTGCAAGGCACTGTCCATTAGTCAATCAACATATTAAAAAGAAACCATTGGAGTATCATATATTTTTCCAAATGTGTTTATAAGAAGTCAAGTGGAGTACTATGATCTCTGGTGCTGAAAGAGTGAGGATATATTATATTGAGAAAGAGTGCTTGACATACATGGAGCTATTATAAGTTGGTAAAAGTATCTGGTATTGAAGTTTGTCAGTAACTGGATGTCTGTGTTGTTCATTTAACATTGGGGGTAGCATGGGATAGATCAAGCTATATTTGTAGATCACACAGCCTAGGTATAATGGATCTTTTATTCCCTTTTTTATGATGGGGTATCCCCTTGCCATCATTGGGAATGCTGAATTCTGGTAAAAATTAAAAAGTGATTGATGAGCTTTTGAATCTTTGTTATTCCCATAAATAAGAATATCATAGTAGAAATGTCTTTTGAAAAGTAATGACGTATTTGAAGTATGATTTCATTACACCAGTATTATACAACTTTTATGATGATGCTACAGGTCCAAAGAACCTTAAGGTAAAGACCAGTATTGAAAACGCCCCAATTTCAAAAAATGAGTGCTTCTAACTTTATGAAGACTTGGCCAAATTTCTTATCATTTTGATGATTCAGAACCTTGCAGTACATCTATGCTGATCGATTTCACAATGTTTCTTTCACAATGCAATTGCATGACCATAACTGGTCTTTAGCTTTAAACTCTATGCAGGGATTTTCAGGGTTAGCAATTTTCAAATTTGTTTGTTTATTCTCAAGTATCCAACCAGTGTTTTTCGTATGTTCGAAGTTTCCAGGTTCGATAAGCTTTCAAGCTATTTTTGGTTCCTGTTATCTTTTCATGTTTGTGTCTACTATATTACAAATGTTTATATACCTATTGTTATGTGTTTATTATTGGATAGTAAATTTCAAATGCAGTCACATATCCAGTACTCACATCACACTAACTTTTCTGCCTTTAGAGATATGATGGTTGATATTTATTCGCACACAATTTCAGAATATTGTTTGTCTGTCTTGGAATGATAATTATGGGCATTGGTCCTATCTCCCAAATTATGAGTTCTGAAACATTTATGACTTCAATATTTTTTTTGTTCAATCAATTTATAAGTAATTAAAGAAAACAAAATCATAATAACAAATATGCACTACCTATACCCGTGAGGATCTACATAAGTATGTAATTATATAATGTACTTTTTGTACATTGAGAAAAAAGTAAATTGAAACAATTATTACCTGTGTAAATATTTTCTTTAGAAATATATTTTTCCTAATATCACATAACAAAATATTGTTTGTTTATATCTGTTATTAGTTCCAACATCGTCTCAAATTGAAAAGAAATTGAGAAGAAGGTTAGAACGAAATTGACTAAAAAGAAGAGAGGGGGAGGGGGATAGGGAGGAGGATGGGGAGGAGGTTAGAGAGAGAGAGAGAGAGAGAGAGAGAGAGAGAAAGATAAAGAGAGGGAAAGCATTAATTCAAATTTCGCTGAATTAATATGGCCACAATAATTATTGAGAAAAAGAACCCCCAAAACTGGTAAACAGAGTTAATAGGAGAAACAACTGGAAGTAGTAAGGAAGGTCTGCTAAAAGCTGGAAGGGGGGTTGACTCAATCTTGTTCAGCATTAAACTTGGCACTCTTCTGGCCCCCAGAAAACGATGCCATGTGTACATTTTACGTAACACCACTGTGAAACAAATTATTGCATTAGTATGATCAGGGAGGTGTTCAACTCCTGGTATGATCAAGGAGTTACTGATTACAATATTCTGTCACATACCAATGAAAGCGAAAGTGTGCGAAACGGGTGTTACGGAATAATTAAGAGGGGGTGGGGGGGGGGCGATGATTAAGTTGAAAAGAAGGTATTTTTTATTACAAGAGAAAAGGCCTGAGATCCTCTTAAAATGACGAATAGGTATCGGAAGTCGATAGTTGAAAGTAGGGAGAGAGAGAGAGAGAGAAAGAAAAAAAACCGGCAGAATATGAAACTTAAATTTACACTTACAGATTACATTTTGTGCCTAAAAGAATGCAGGCGAAAGTACAACAATTGGGGGTTAACCCCCCCTTTGGTATTTTTATGTGTGTAAACCCCCCTAAAAATCCCTAAACCCCCCCCCCCCCCCCCCTTTGGATTTTTTTTTTCTTTTTTTTTTCTTAATTAATTATTAAAAAAACAAAAACAACAAATTACCCCCATGGCTGACCTAAGAAAGGTGACCTTACCCCCCCCCCCCCCCCCCCCCCCAACGGAGCAAAATGTCAAATTTTCAAATTTCGAGACCAAAAAAAAAGTGTCCTCTTACCCCCCAAACTGGTAAACAGAGTTAATAGGAGAAACAACTGGAAGTAGTAAGGAAGGTCTGCTAAAAGCTGGAAGGGATTAGAGTTTTTATTGCTCACGACGGCTATCTAGAATGCTCTGTATTGCCAAAACACGAGAGCTTCCTAAGGCTCCGACTCCTGGATACGAATCCGCGTAAGAGCCATTTTGAAAGTTTAAAGAAAATTCCATCAAAATCCAGGAAAATGAGGTGTTTGTTTTCGGGCAAGTTTTAAAAAAATGTAACAGTTCTCTTTTGACAAGATATTGACCTATAAAAGCGAGCCTCAATCTCTGCGGTAGAGAAGTGTCATGGTTGTAAAAATTAGGAGCAGATTGCCCAAGTCTGAAACAAAATTGAGTAATGTTTGAGTCGTGCCCAGCAATATTGTACAGGTTCTACTTAAATTTACGATCGAGCATAAGAATTTTCAGGCGAATGGCATCCCATGTTTGGGACCTTACAGCTTTCATAGAAATCCTATTTTGACCGTCAAAGAATATTTTGTTTGAGAAACCCGGCTCTATAGTATTCCCTACACTTGATGCAAGGCGCCGAAGATGGCGTTATCAACGAACTCGTACGCCCAGCCTAAGATTTATTTCGCCTGGAGTAGAACAAAATTTGGGGATCACGTCATCGTCGGCTTGAAGCAATTGGTTGGGGAGATCATTGGGAAGATGATTAAAAATGAAATCGACCAGATTATGGACTACGTATAAAATTGTCACATGTTGAAACGAAGCTTGTTACACTGTTATAGTGTGACACCTACCCCCTGGACATCCACCCCCGGATAACCACAGCCAGTCAACTACCCCCTACAGGCGCGGATCCAGGATTTCTTAGGGGAGGGGCCCAACTTTTTTTCTTTTTTTTTTTGCTCCCGAAATTTGAAAATCGTGCCGGCCGAAAAGTCGTTAAGGGGGGGGGGGGGGGAGCACTTTTTTTTTTTGGGGGGGGGGGGTTCTCGAAAATTTTAAAATTTGCACCACCCCCCCCCCTTGAGCGCCAGGGGGGGGGGGCAACCCCCCCCCCCAAAAAAAGGTAAAAATCACGTGTTTTAACATGATTTTTTTTTCCTCAAGAGGGGGGTGGGGGGGGGGCCCGGCCCCCCCCCCCCCCCCTGGATCCACCACTGACCCCCCCTAGGACAATTACCCTCTAGGGCAACCACCCTCTATGATGACTATCCCTGGACAACTACCCCCGGACAACTATGTCCGGGGTGGTTGTCCCGGGGGTAGTCGTCCTATAGGGTAGTTGTCCTAGAGGGTAATTGTCCCAGGGATTAGTTGACTGGCTGTGGTTATCCGGGGGTGGATGTCCAGGGGATAGGCGCCCGGATACGAATTATATCATGCAAGCGATCCATATCCACTGTGTGTACTCTGTAGTATGATGTGGACACATTATTGTGAATCATTCTACGATCAGAGTTTGATAACAAATATAAA